TTTGGAAACTGACACGAATGTAACTACTGAAAGCTAAGCTCCGCAGGTTTTATTCAGCTAGCTCCTGTTTTCTGATTCATGTGCTGGCATGAGGCTTATTCCCAGGACAGTCATAATTCACTGGCTCTTTATAAAAAGAGCTTTGCTGGAACGTTCAACTACAAAAATCCCAAGATGTGTCTAAATCATTTAATAAGTAAGTTCTCCACAAGCACTAAGGGTCTGCTCTTTTCAGTAGAGTGTAAACAGCAAATTGTGTTTCATGACTTCTGCATCTGAGTCTCTTGTAATGCCATTCCCATGGAAAGATCACCTTCTGCCAAGATTAATGTGTCAAGACAGAACACTTCGCTATTATTTCAGTCTAATGAAGATTTTTAGCGTTTTTGATTCCTCTCAGAGGAATAGCGTGGTGTAGAACCATTGTCATAATATTTACAAGTAAAACAGCTATGCTTCATGATTTTGTTGTTGTTTTCTTTTCTAACTACCTGTCAAGTAATTCCTAACAAGTTCAGATAGCTTTCGTGAGTAAGTATCATTATTTCAAAAGAATCATTTTACACCTGAAAACTGTTCTTTTTTTGGTAGGTTGTTTCTGTGTTTGTTGTGATGGTGGTGTTTCTGTTGTTGCTTTTAGCTAGCAGCTCACTTGGCTTTGATCCCTTGAGACTAATCCCTTTGTAATCCATTGCCAATTTGTATAATCTTCCCACATGACACCTCAGTGATCATCCGGTGTCAGAGGAGGTGAAGATGCAGTCCAGTTCTGGTGTCCACAGAAGATGAAAAGCTGTTCTACATATTGCTCTACTTGTGTTGATGTGAAATCTTAACTTTCACATCAGTCTTTTCTTAATTAGCTAGCAAAGAAAAAGCCAGGAAAAAAACACTAACTATAGCTTCAGCTGTCCTTATCAAAGACCTCTACACACAAGACTGAAAGGAAGGTATTGTGCTGAAAGATATTAAACATTTGCTTATCTGGAGTGTAAATGAGATGTGTGGAATAGGCATTTATTTATATGGACTCCCTCCATCCTCAGTGTGGTTTGCAGGATCCTTACTCCGGTGCTCTCTGTGGACTTTGAACAACCATGCCCCAGGTAGAGTAAAATGGAAATTCCAATTAAGTTCCAGGAGAAGATACGCTGTTTTTCTAACAAGGCAAAGACTTGATTTCATCTAGAACATTGTTTAGGCTTTTCACAAGAAGATTATGAAAGTTACTGTGTTAGTGCATTGCAGATCACAGAATCACAGAATGGCCAGGGTTGGAAGGGACCTCAAGGATCATGAATCTCCAACCCCCCTGCCACATGCAGGGCCACCAACCTTCCCACCTAATGCTAGACCAGGCTGCCCAGGGCCCCATCCAACCTGGCCTTGAACACCTCCAGGGACGGGGCATCCACAGCTTCTCTGGGCAGCTGTTCCAGCATCTCACCACTCTCTCTGTAAAGAACTTCCCCCTGACGTCCAACCTAAATCTCCCTTCCCTCAGCTTAAAAC